GTGTCAGTCAACCTCACTGAGGGGTCTTCCTCTGCTTGGCTGGCCCTCAACTTTTCCACGCATGATGTCTGTTCCCAGGGGCTGGACGTTCCAGATAACATACTCAAAATACACGACACAGAGGGTCCCCCCTTCGCCTCTAAGAAACACTAGGATGCACTTTTCCCAAAACAAATGTGCCCATTCTTTTGGCCATCTGTGCTATATTCCATATTCTTCCCCTCATCACAACTCAAAGGGGTCGATTCTTCCTTGTTCACTGCCAGCTGTCACATGCACATAATACAACTGAAAATACCGTGACTCAGGTCAGGAGCACCTACGTTTTTAAGATTCTATCATCCAATCTCTAGCCTTCATTTCTATTACAGAGGTTGTATTTTTCAGTCTTTCTTCTGTATCTTTCACATTCCAGTCAACAAATAGTAATGTATATTCATTACCGGTTGGATCCATTTCAGGCTGCACAAGTTGGTATAATTCCTCAATTTCCTCAACTTTGGCTTTAGTGATTGGTGTCACTTACTATACAAATATGAATCACACAGTCTTATTGTATGTGATGAACATTATTCTTGTTCAAGGTGTAAAGAAGCAATAGCGTAAAAAAAAAAAAGAAACAATGATGGAAATGTATGCACATTTACAACGTTCTTCTTACCAAAACCATTTATGGAAAATAGGTACTGCATTGGAACATGTATCTCTGGAATGGAAATTATGATATCGTTAATATTTCTAGCCTTAAGCTTAAAAGATTATGTTCAAAATTATTTGTTATACATTTGTTTAAATATTTCCCTCTTTCAACAACTGGGATCTAGAGGGAAGAGAAAAGACCAGAGAATGGCCAAAATTATTGGGGCACCTATTGCTGCCAGTTTAGGGCCTGTGTCAGGAAAAGGAAGTCTTACTCATATACAGTGCCACCCAAAGGTAATAAAGGAGGTCAGAATTGCTTCCACTGTGGAAAGCTGAGCCACTTCAGTAGACAGTGTCACAGACAAGAGCCACAGATAGGCAAGGGAGTAGAGAGGAAGCTCCCACTCACTTGCTTTAAGTATGGATCTGAAGGACACTTGGCCAAGGGTGGCCCACATCAGGTCCTTGTGGCTGACAGGACTGACAGGCCCCAGCTCCAACAATTTATATCCTCCCAGAAGAGCTGTGGGTGAGCTTTAACAGTACTGGTAAGTATATTCGTTTTCTCCTGGACATAAGAGCCTACTATTTGGTCCTAAAAGCCTTCTGAGGTCCCAACTCTTCTCACTATTTCTTAGTTGTTGGAATTGATGGAAAACCTCATAAGCAGTTCCTTACTTCATCTCTGCCTTGCATGCGGACTTCTGAGTTGTAAAACAACCCAGTGGTAGATGGAATTTGCTCCAGGACTTAAGAACAATAAATGACATAGTTGAGCCTCTACATCTTATGGTTCCTAACCTTTATACTATAATAGACAAAGTGCTAGTCAACAGGCCTTTTATTGTAAGAACTACCTTCCCTCTGTAACTTGATGTGTGCCACTATTATTGCATTTTAATTTTTGACCCATGTACTTTCAACTTGTTAGTTAAATTGGGGTCTTCTAGGCTGCAACACTTCCATGATACATCTTCAAGGATATGAACATGTATGGCTAAGCACAACTGATAACAGTGCATCTAAATTCCAAAATCAATCTCCATAATAGTCTATGTGTTTCCTATTGCCAAAGGGGCCCTTTAGAGTAGTGAGAGAAGATCTTCACCCTGAAACCTACAGCATCCCTTTTCAGCAGGAAGTAGCCATCCCCTTTTCCTTATGAATCAGGGTGAAGTCTCTCTCAGGGAGGAGTGATAGGGAATGGCAAAGGGCACACTGACAAAGGCGATTAATCAGAACTGGCTTTGACTAGCACTGTGGCAACTGGACAATTAAAACAGACTTCCAAGAGGGGTAAAAAAAAGAATGAACTGGAGAGGAGGGTAGAGAAAATAGTGAAACAATGAATGAATGAAAACCCAAAGTCTCTGTAGATGTTCATTAAAATTAATAAAATTTTATAATTAAAAAAAAGACTAAGATGCACCGATTCAAGCCATAATATTTTCAGTTACTTGCTATGTATCTGGAAGTTGGACAGTGACTAATGATGACAGAAGAAGAATCGATGCCTTTGAACTGTAGTGTTGGAGAAGAATAGGGAATATTCCATGGACTGACAGAGATGCAAATACATCTGGGAGAAAGTGTGATCACAGAGCCCCTTACAGGTAAGGAAGGTCAAACTTCATCTCACTTATGTTGGACATGTTGCTCAAAGAGGGGCCAGTCCTGGGACAGGACATCATGCCTGGAAAGGTGGAGTCCGGCCAGCAAAAGAGGCAGACTCTTTAACAAGATGGACTGAGAGGCAGACTCTAACAAAATGGATTGGCACAGTGACTGTAATAATGGGCCCAAGTATATCAGAGATACTGAGGATGGTATATAGGGTCGCTATGTGTTGTGGTCGACTAGATGACACCTAACAACTACAAGCCTTGAGTTGAGTCTGACGACTTGTAACCTTCCATTGAGTTTCTGAGGCTGTAAATCCCTGTAGGACGAGACTGCCTTATCTTTCTCCCATGGAGCAGCTGGTGGATTTGAACACCCGACCTTTGGACCAGCAGGTCAACAAATGACACAAGACACCACTAGAGCACCTTAAAAAAGGAAAGCAATGTTAAAAAGGTGGTTTTGAGTCTATCATTTAATTCATTTCTAGGCCATTACCTATTTATGAGTCTTGTGAAGTGGTGTGTGTGGCCTAGTGGTAAGGAGTTGTGCAGTCAACCCAAAGGCAGGCAGTTCAAATCCACCAGCCACTCCAAGGGAGAAAGACAGGGAATCTCCTCCTGCATGATTTATAGTTTCTAAAGCCCACCGGAGGTCAGCTCTGCGCCTCTTGTGACTTGATGGCAATGACCTTACCTTTTCTAACATTGGGGTAATGGTCTCTCGGTCACATCAGCTCCTCAGAGGCCTAAATGTCTGTCTTTTCCTTGTCAGTCGGCCTCCCACCACTGAACATCTTCATAAAAGAGAAACTTTTTTTTAACAAAAATGTTTTTTATTTTTTTTCTGTACCAATAACTCATAAAACTATAAACTCAAGGAATCATCCAATACTTGATAATTCTGGAGAGACATTTAATAAGCACCTTCAATGGTTTCCACAGCTTAAGACTTGATCATTTTAAAAAGTTTAGTGTGAACTTATTAAAAGGAATAAAAAAGGTATAAAAATGATACAAAACTAGATGAGCATGTGATATAGAGAGCTTGGTACGCAATGATAAATACATAAAGTATAGGTTGAGCTACATAAAAAAGACCCACATGTTCCCAAATTCTTGAGAATATCTGTCTTTTAGAACAAACTCTAATCATGAATGGAGTTTAGCTTCAAGGGGCTGCCTCAACAAGCAGCAGCTGAGGATCAATGTGGGACAAATTGCTGAGCGGGGCTCAGGAGTGAAGGGTTCGAAGAGAAAAGAGGAGAGTCCTTTCCCAGGGAGAAGACCAGATTCCTTCATCTGCTCAGGCAGGAGTGTTACTTGGCAAAATATTCTGTTTGCCTTTTGGAATTAAAAAACTCAAGTCGTCATCAAGTTGGAACTGAACCACAGCTAAAATCCAGAAAGTTTTCAGAGGCTGTAAACCACTCGGGAGGAGAGGGCTTGGCTCTGTGCCTCAGAGCAGCTGGTGGATTCAAACCAGTGGCCTTCAGGTTAGCAGCTCACCTCCCAATGGACTATGCCACCAGATCTCCCTTTGGGGATTGCAGAAAGGTTTTGCTTCCTGCTGTGGTTAAATCCCTTCCTCGGTGATATTTCTTATGGGTTTTCTCTACTCATAGCCTATACTTCACTGACATAAACCCCTCCTACCCAGCTGGACTCTGGGAAGCAGCTGATAAAGAGCTAACGTGTCAGCTACTCATATGGTGAGAGTTGTATTCTAGCAGTAAAAACTTGCATGTGAAGTGAGGCAATGGTTCCTTAACTGAATGACAGAAGATGAGGGACTATTAGCCTACACGGTCACCTCAGTCCATCTGTTCTAGGGACATGGGTGGCTGAGACAGTCAGGACCTGGGAAGCTGGAGAAAACAAGTTTGTGGTAAATAAACTGGTTCCTACGAGTGAGGAAGACTGTGGTCATCACCGGGTACAAGTCCCAGTCCCTGGCTCAGAACACTGGCACCTGCAGTGGAGCTGTGCTGCCGCAGAGGCCAGATGCTGCAGCCCGGTGCTCTGGGACAGAAGGGGCAAAGAGGCGGTCTCCAGGGAAATTTAAGGCACATAAAAAGCAGCTCCTCTCTTCAAACTTCTGACCCCATGCTGGAATTCCTAAGCATGGAGCTCTTCTCTGATCTAACACTTTGACTGCTAATGGTTACTGTTGAAATGACAACTTCTGAACTGGGAGGCACAGCCTGGGTCATTCATGAAATGCCCCTAAACCCCAGAAAGGTTTTTTTTACTTAAAAGGCAGAGCAAGCTACCTGTGGTGGGGACTTGGGCAGGATGAAGAGGGAAAAGGGTCAAGGCGCGAAAAGCTGTGAGTCTAAGAAGGACGTTAGTGCACCAAGAGACAAAGTGTGGGGGAGCCAACTCCTTCCTCTCTTCATCCTCACGAGGATGGCCCTGGCCAACAGAGCAGGACGAGCTCATAGGGCCAGCAACATCCCACTCAACAGAGGGGCCAAGGTTGAGACAGTTCCAGAGGGTCCCGAGAACTAAGAACCACTCTCACTGGAGCCAGGAGGGTGTCTGTCTTCACTAAAGAGAAGAGGCTTTCCTGGGAAGAAGTACAGGGTGTGATTTTGGGTTGCCATGCGGGGAAAGTTGTCAGGACTCAGGCAAGGCTAGACCTGGACCTAGTGGTCACTCACAGCCAGACGACACTTTTCAGTCCGGGCCTTTTCAGGTAGGGTGTTGCTATGACTTCTTAGGAGAGTGTTATTTTCTTCATTTCCGCTCAATACAGTCAACCCCTAGGGTGTTGTCTGGGCACCGGCAGGTCCTGCTTCCAGGGGTGGCCAAGCACAGGTGGGTGCAGCCGCCGTTGTTCACCGAGCAATAGTTGTGGCCTGAGAGAGTAGAAAATGGTTCATGAGCCTATCCTCAGACTTGACGAGATGACCATCTAAGAGATAGGCCTCTTGTTAACCTTTCTCTCTCCCTGAGGCCAGACCTATGAGAGCACCATGTTGTTCTTATGTCTGTAATCACACCCACCTACTACTGTCCATTTCCTGCCACTGCATCCTATGGCTAACGTGCCAATTCCCAGGATGAAGGCTCTGGTGGCAGATCGGCCACCAAGCTGTTAAACCAGCCTCAGGGCAGGCTTTCCAGCTCTGCTCCTGACACAGAGATGACATTTGCACAGCACTCTATCTTGGCTTCACAGTGGATGGGGAGAAGAGGGCAGGCAGTCAGAACTGTGGGTCGGCGAGAGGCTTGGAGAGCCATGGCGTTACCCCCGCTCTGCCAAAGAGCTACGCAGTGTTGGGCACGTGATTGAACAGCCAGTGCTCCTGTTCCGTTACTATGAAACGGGCATTGCTGCAATACCTACATGGTGGGGTTCCTTGTAGATTAAGTGAATTCATGATCACAGAGTCCTGAGAACCCTGATGGATGTGGGCAGGCCATAGGACGTGCTCGTTGTGGTTGTTGTTGTTAGGTGCCTTCCAGTCGGCCCTATGAACACATCTGACCTTGCTCCACTCTGCACCATGCCCATGAGCTCAGAATGCTCCATGAGCTCAGAATGCTTGAGCCCATCCTGCCAGTCACCACATCAATCCAGCTTATTGGGGGTCTTCCTCGCTCTCTGACCCTCTACCCTTCCCAGCATGGTGCCTTTTCCCAGGACTGGCCCCTTCTTGGATAAGCGCTATAGGCAGGCTTGCAATGGATGGCATCTTAAAGACCCTGCCATTCTAGAAGGCTCCTATTCAATGATATTGCCTGTCCTTCTCTCTGCTCCATGGGAGAAGGATGGGCAATCTCCTCCATGTGATTTACTGCCTCTGAAAACCCACTGCAGAATCAGCTATGGGTCAGTTCCAAATTGATGGCAAACAACATCAATTCAACAATATACTTCTAGACTCCGGTCAACTGAATAGTTTTTCTCACCCTTGTTCACATCAGAAACTTTGTGTTCTTGTCTTCCTTTTTTTAATCCACTCACCCACTTGATAATGAAAGTCCCTGACAGGAGAGAATGCACCCTCCCCACCCCGGCTATGCGGTGAGAGGTCCTTGGTTGTCACTGTGCAAATGGGAAATGTGGGGTTGGCACAGCCCCCATAGAGAAAGGGCCCGCTAGTTACCTTGTGGGCACTGCGAAAGCGCTGTGGTGATGCCGTACAGCCGCGTCTGTTTGTGGGGGTGGAAGTCATCCGTCTCTTTGGAAACAGCGAGATCCACGGCAATCACGGAATTCCTACAACACCGGCAGAGAAACGGAGCTGATGGCCTGGCCTCTTCTCTACTGGGCACCCTCTTGTAGCTCCGCCGACAGACAGGCACCCCGACTCTGCCTGAACTGTGAGCCTACAGTTTACACCCTGGCCCACATCAGAACCCCATCAGCTTCCACTCATCTCTCTAGCTTCTTAAAAAGCACAAAGCTCAGAGGGCTCGCCCTGCCATCTGAATTCCAGGCTGAGCAGCCTATTTCCTGTGGGGATGCCCTTGGCTGACCCCTCTGAGCTGGAATGCACTCATGGCAACTGCTTTATTTCTTGCTGTGGAAGGAAGAGGGTGGCTAAGACAGGGTTATGAACAATGATGGGGTGGGGAACACTGAGGGCCCAGGAGCTGAGGGACCCTTGTCCTCACTCCTGGGATGAGAAGAGCATCCATAGGAAGCCCAACTGGACAGGCTGGCTCCTGAATCCCAGCTGGGAGGGTCAGATGATGAGTGAATGACACCCCCCTCTCCCATTCTCCATCCTTCAGAGGTTCCTGTCCTCCCTTCCCCACTGCCCTCTCCTGTCCACTGACAGCCAGAAGGGGAGGGCCAGGGGACAAATCTGTAGAGGGCCAAAGGTCAGGCCAAGAGGCCAGATGGAAGGGCTCCAGCCTCTCAGAGAGAGGGGGTGAGAGGTCGAGGCCTAGCCGGCTGCCCCAGCCCCACAGCCCACGTACGTCTTCCAGTCCGTGTAGAAGAGGTTCTTCCCGAAGCTGGTCACGGCGAAAGGGTACTGCAGCCCTTCCAGTACCATGCGTCGGCCAGGCTGGCCAGGGCGCACGCACTCTACCCGCTTGGTGCCTGTGGCGGGGCAAGACAAGTGTCCATTGTTGATGCAAGAAACGGCCCCTTTGTGCCAAAAGAACAAGAGCAACGAGGGCAAGGGAGGGAGAGATTCAGCCACAGTGGCGGTCCTCCACAACACACAGGCCCACCGCCGGACCCTTTCAGCGGTCAGCACCATCTGTCTCCTCCTGCCTACTCTGACGGTGGAGTGACCAGGATCCAAAATTGCTCCTCACGTACCCCTCCCCAAAGCTGCTGCCATTTGCCAGGCCCCTCCCCAGGTCACCCTGTTCTCACTCAAGTCCTCCCTGAACTGGGAGCCGCCAAGGATGGCTCTGCAAACACCACCAGCGGTTCACCTGCCCAGCTGACAAGGCTGAGGCATAAAGGCAGGGCGTCAACTCACTGAAATAGCCAAACCCACTGCTGTTGCATCCAGTTGGTGGTGTCCCTCCTTCAGATTTCTGAGGCTGTGAATTTCTACAGGAGGAGACTGTCCATCTTTCTCCCACAGAGCAGCTGAGGGATTCGTACCACTGACCTTTCAGTCGGCAGCCCGACATGTAGCTTGCCATGTAACCAGAGGCCCTTTCCTTAGCTCATGGTCTTGCCTAAACCTTTGGTGACAAGAGGGAGCCACCGGACTATAGATGGGAAGCTGCTTAACTGGCTTCAAGGCACCACTGGCCTCATGTGGAAACACTCGGGCAGAGGGTCGTAGGCTTTTCCTTAAAGGACCAGATAGCATACATTTTAAAAACTAACTGACTGCTGACCCTCCACTGGGCTTTCAGAGGCTGGAACCACACAGGAGGAGATGGCCCATCTTTCTCCCATCGAGTCACTGATGGATTTGAACTGCTGGCCTTCAGATTGGCAGTGTAACTTTCTATGCACTTGGCCAACAACACTCCCTATATATTTTAGGCAAGATCATTTAGAATAATATTTCAAAATACAAAACCATTTCTAACTCCTAGGTTGCTAAAATAAACAACAACAACAACAACAAAAAATCAACCAGGAGTTGGGCTGGATTTGGAACCTGTGTCACAAGAGCAAAACATCCTCCAGACAAAGTCAAGTTCAGAGGCCTAAGACGAACCAAATGTTCAGGTCAGAAAGTTGGGGCTTATGCTCTCAGGAAAAAAGCCGCACCCTTTTCCCAAGTTCAAGGTCTCTGGACGGACATGGGCTACTCACAGCATTGATTAGAAATGAGACACTGCTCCCACCCATAGGCTGTCACCTGCATCCACCCAGCAGAGCTGAGACGAGAAGGCATCAAAAGCCAGGCCGTTGGGCAAGCCCAGGTCATCCTTTACCAGGATCCTGCGGTTGGTGCCGTCCATGTAGGAAGTTTCGATTTTGGGGTTATCTCTGTCCCAGTCTGTCCAATAAAGGTTTCTGGAGAAGGTGAGGAAAAGAGAAGAGAAATTCTTAAGAATCAGGAGGGGAAAGTTAGCAAGAGTGCTCAAACAGGAAGTCCCCAGGTGCACATGTCCTTGGAGCAACAAACCAGCCACTACTCACGGCAGATCCCTCATCACAATCACCTTCGTTGGTGGATGTTTGATTTTTAAATCCCTGACATGGCTCTGATCCTTATTTGCACAAAAATTCATAGTTGTCGAGTTGGAATAAACTCAAAGCTAGCACTTTATTGGATTTCTGAAGTTATAAATTGCACGGGAGGAAATTACCCATCTTAGGGTAGGTCTTGAACCACCATAGAAGTGCTGCCTGTGGGTCCATAGTGTTGCTCCCTGTGGGCTCTGCCATCAGCCTTCTCCTGCATGACAGTTAGGAACTGTGTGTGCCAGTTCTCACTTACCTACAAATTCTACTCAAAGATACATACTTTGGGATGGATTTCATCCATAACTTAACACTCTGAAGAGAACAGACAATGGCTAGAAAGGACACAGATGGGAAGCAACGTTTTCATTTACAAAGACACTAGTTAGGTCACTGGGTTATAAACAAATTCAATTCCCCTGCACATATGGGAAGGGAGTTCTGGTGGCCTGGTGGGTAAGGACTTGCACTGGTAAACCAAAGGCGGGGGGTTTGAATCCACGATTTGCTCCTCAGGAGAATCTCCTGCTTCACATTTGATAGCTTCTCATAACCCGCTAGAGGGTCAGCTTTGAGTCGGTTCTGATTTGAAAGCAATGAGTCTGTGTTTGAACATACGGGTAGATAAAAGGTATGAGGCCACCTCAGACCCAGGGGCTAAGGCACAGATAGGTGGGGGCCACGAGGGAGAGAATGAAAAATGTGATCTCAAAAGGGACCCTGCAAGGGCTGAGGGCTGATAGAGTGGTGTGTTACTAACAGCCTGCAGTATGAATAAGGAGTGTGGAGACCGCTAGCATGCAGCCAGAAGCCACAGCCAGAGGTCTCTGAGGTCTCCTCCACTGGATTCACCGAGGGACGAGGCTGTGGGGTCCATCCATGTTACCCAGGTATGCTTGCAGCATTGATAGAGCTGCCATGTTTGTGCACATCCAACCCATAGGAAACATAGCCCCAGTTTTCACCTGTCACCATATGGAAAGATTGGTCATGGAATAGGGTAACACATTCACAGTATGTCAGAGAGATGACAGCAGGGTCTTGTCATGAGATCCTCACAGCAGAGACCCATGAGTCCCCAGTGACAGCCTGTACCAATTCATTTCACAGAGATGCTGGCATTAGAGCCTGGCATCCGAGGCCACGCCACAGAGCAGAAGGAAACAGACTAGAGGCCCACATGTGTCCTGCAAAGACAGATACCCTCTCACGGGGTCCGTTACGATGCCCCGGGGGTTCACCAGGTCCGTCTCGAACAGCACCCGGCGCTGGCTGCCATCCAGCTTCGCCACCTCGATGCGGTCCAGGTGGGAATCCGTCCAGAAGATGTTGCGGCCGAGATGGTCCAGGGCAATGCCTTCTGGGCTTCCAAGGTCTAGAACAAACACAGAATCGTCCTGATGATTTGAAGCAGGTGCGGTGATATCTCCCTACTCTGGGGTTGCTATGCTCTGGTGGGTTGGACCTGACTCATGCACCCCCCACAAACAACAGAATGGAATGCTGTCCAGACCAGACCCTTCACTTCACCTGCCTTCTAATCTCTCCACTTGAAGAAACCAAGTGCGAGTAGAACGTGTGTTGCTGTGAGGATAAGCAACACTCATGACACCAAGTTCAACAATGTTTCTGAGGTCACTTGGCATGACACCCATGCTGGGCACAAGGACCACGGAGAAGGCTGAACCATGGCCCTGGCCAATCACACGGCAGAGTTCAGGGCTCCCTGGGACACTGGAGCCAGGTAGGGCACAGGGAGAGGAATGAGTGAAGGATCAACGGAAGTCGGTTGTGTAATGAGCAGGTCTCCAGGAAGACCCGACGGAGCCCAAGCTGAACTGTTGGTGGTTTTACAGGGACATGAGGCGGGGAAAGAGGCAACAGGGAAATTAGGACACGTGAACACACTTCAGGGTCATCCTGTAGGAAAGCAGAAGCACTGAGAGACGTGGTCAAAACAGCTCTTATTCCTTAATTATTGAAAAGAAAGGGAAGAGGGTTTCAGGGAAGCAGATACTCGAAGAGTCCCAGCCAACTTGCCATTCCTCTGTACAGGAATAAGGAGTAGAGCAAAAGCCACGCAGCAACCATCAACAGTGCCCCAGAGACCTTTCCCAAGTCATAAACATTTACTTTCAAAGTGTTTATCTCCTAAAGTAAGTGAGTGCCTGAGAGTGAGCAGATTCACTGTAAACTTTCAGGACCCGCCTGACATGGTCGGAGACTCAGGATTGTGGTGGCTTCTTGAGTGCTAATAAATACATATTTAAAATGACCATTTGCAGTAAAGACCAAGGTAGACGGGTAGGCTCTCCTAGAGGTAAGGGTGGCATGGATTTGGGGTGTTGCACACAGGACAAGAGTTTCTGTCTGGGATGATGAAAATGCTGGGGAAGGGACGTGCTGATGGGGGCCCGAGTCATGGGATTCATGGAATCAGCGCGCTAAACTGCACACTGGGAAATGGTTAACAGCAAGCGTTGTGTATCACTTACAGCGACACTTAAACAACATATGGACACTTGAGCCTGCGAGTAGCATAGTCCATTTTTTTAGCACATTCTATTTTGTTTAAGATGCTGACAGTTTATTCTGCAAACTGTTTAAACCTCTACAACCTCACTGCAATCATTGTAACAAATGTGCAGATTGGTGGAATAAATAAGCTACTTGTATGTGGGGAAAATCCAATATGTGAAAAATGATATGTGATAACCCAGGAGAGACTGGAGAGCTTTACGCTGAGTGAACTAACTCAGTCTCATAAGGATAGAGATTGTATAAGACCATTATTGTAAAAATAGAAGGATAACAGTAAAGCATGTCTGGGGGGCTGGAGGGGAAAAGAGGTGGGAGCAGAGGGGTGAGGGTTGGCAGAGGGGAAATCACAGGGTTGCACAGTTTGATGGGGAGAGGGAAGGGGTAAAGGAAATAGGAAAGATCCAGCAGGGAGCTGAAAAGATCGGGCAATGGTGGGCATGGATAAATGGTGATTAATTTTATAAAACACAATGTCAGGAGTCCAGAACAATGGCTGCATAATGGAGTGGACTTGGGGGGAGGGATTGTGTAACAACAAAGAATTTTTTCTTTTATTTTTCAAAGAGAAGAGTGATCTGGGGAGAGGGGTGGGCAGGGAGAAAAGGGCAACAATGAATGAACAGAAATCCAAAGTCTGTAAATTTTCATTAATAATAATAATAAAGGGGAGGGAAAAACAAACCAAAAAACCCCACACTGTATGGGAATGACTGTATGAAACATAATGTGAATGAAGGAAAGTGTGAAATACAATGTATACGAATTTTTTAATGTAAACCAATATAAATTTGTTTTTAAAGGGACCATTTGTATTGTCACTAAGGAGTCTCTCCTCTCTTGATCAGAGAACTGCAGGTCACTGGGTGTGGCTGGAGCCTCGTGGAAGGGGGCAGCAGCAAAGACTGAAGCTGGATCAGAAAGGAGTCGAGGGCATGTGAACATCACCCCAATACTGTGTGTTTTCATCAAAAGACGAGTGATTCGAACCCTTGGTCCCCTTTGTGCAGCGCTCAGTGGACCCCAACAGAATCACAGCTGTGGGGTGAGATGTGTAGGTGCCCTGCCTAATTGAAGCCCCAACTGCAGAAACTAAGACACAGAAACAGGAGCCGAACAATGTCTTCAGTATTCAAAACCAAAGCAGCAACTTAGAAGAACTAACTATTCCCTACACATCTAGACACAAGGGGGCAGGAGGACCAAGCACGGATACTCCATCAGCTTTCTGAGTCTCTGCAGTCAAACCAGAACAAATCCTCCAGGCGTGTGTTTGCAATGCATGCATCCTGTGTGGTTGCTCAGAACATGCGCCCTGGCAGAAAAGAGCAGAAAAGAGGGGTCTCAGCAGTCCACATGAGAGGCCCCGACCAGACTTGTGAGCAAACCCCAGTCATGAGGCCACATCATCTCATGAAAAACAGCCCTGTCGGGGGAGCTCTGGTGGCCTAGTGGCAAGGAGCTGCAACTACAATCCCAGAGGCGAACGGTTCGAATCCACCAGATGCTCTGCCGGGTAAGGAGGGACAATCTCCTCCTGTACCAGTCAGATCTGATTTGACGGTACACTCACACAAAAATAATAAAATTTTAAAAAATTTAAAAAAAAACAAAAAAAACCAGCCCTGTCCAGATTCAAAACCCAAGAGTCACAAGGCCCCAAGTAACCAGAAAATATTTCTGTAGGACCAGAGATGTAAAGAAAAGCCTAAAAAATCTCTACTGTGCCATCACAGGAAGGACACACTGGCAAGATGATGCATCCTGCACAGCTAATGTCGAAGGGAGGGAGCGTATATGATACTTGTTAAAAACAATTCGTATGTACATGCATGTTTATTGCAGCTTTGTTCACAATAGTAAGGAGTTGGAAACAACGTAAGTGCCCATCAACAGATGAATGGTATATTCACACAATGGAATACTATGCTGCATTGAAAAACAAGGAACTCATGCAATATTATTCAAAATGGGTGACTCTGGAGGACATTATGCTGAGTGAAGTATCTCAGTCACAAAAGGACAAATAATGCATAGTGCCACTGCTTTAAAACAGGACTGATACTGGGGTTGGGGGAGACTGAGAATGATGGGTTCAATAATGTATACTGCATTGAAACAGATGAGGGAGAAAACTGTTTAAGAGGATTAAGTGATTAGGTATTTTTGTCATGACAGGAGTCTTGAGTGAAGGCTGCATAGTGGAGTGGCCCTGGGTGGAGGAATTGTAAAACAATGAAAGAATTTGTCTTTTACTTTTCCAAGAGGGGAGTGTACTGGGGGGGAGGGGTTGCGAGGGGAGAAAAGTGCAACAGTGAATGAATGGGGGCGGGGAAGACATTTGTGGAAAAATAAAACCAAACCAAAAACCAATTCGTGGTGGCTTTGCTCCAAGGGAAGGCCAAAATTCAGTCAGTATGTAAGAGCTAAAGCAGATGGAATGACACCCACTGCCCATCCCCACTCACTCCTACAGCCAGCCACAACCTACTGCCTCCTCTCTTTAAAAAAGAAAAACAAAACAAAACACAAAAAAACCCAACCAGTCATCTTTCTTCTGCAAGATCACACTTGGATTCAACTCTCTCTCTTTGTGTAGTGAGCAGGCTTGGGCTTGGATGTTTTTCTTTGTGCATAAAGCTTTCTTGGATGATAATCAGCTCTCCAAGCAACAGGAAATAGCATCTGATGACCTACACCCTTCTTCCACTGGGCTTTAAAATTAAAGGACAGATAATAGGGGCAGCATTCCTAACAGAGACACCAGAAATGCAAAGGGCAATTTCAAACATCAGTTTCTTAAAGCACAAAAACAAGTACAATTTATTTAAACAAGCATCAGCTTTCAGAAAAGAATCCAGGGCCAGTGTCCAGAGCCAGGCATACTGAATTAAACCTCAGCCTAATCCCTGAGGATTTCCCTAGTACAGTTAAGGAAGAGAAAATGTCCCCAGGCTCTCCCAAAGCACAGAGAGCCTTCTGGAATATTAATTGTTTAGAACTAGTAACTTGGAAAGTGGACAAGCTCCGTTCAAGCAAAGAAAATAGAAATACAATGGAGCGCCTGTTTAGAAGATATTTCTTGGTTTGGGATATTCATACAAACATCACCAGTATGAAAGTTGAAATAGTTTTTGAGGGAAAATATTCCCAAAACAGCTGATGAGTCATTTGCTTAAGTAACGTCCAATGCTCAACTTTTCTGACACAGGGAAAGTTTTAAGGGTCTCTGGAATTTTGTTGTAATGGTCTTCACTCTAAATGTAATGGACCCACACAAAACAGTCTTGATGTGCTGAAGGTAGACCTCAAAGTGATCCATAGAGTCCTTTGTGAAATTGGGATCATTAGGTTAAGAAATGAAGAGTAAATGCTGAGGGGTAGGCTGTGATGAAATGACAATGTACTTTATCATCCATAATGCAACAGACAGTTAAGAAATGTGTTCAAAAGTTCAAGCTGATCTGTTGAAATCTGGCATGAGCAATATGAGTAGGTGCCAAGAGTGGGGCCGAGGAGGGAGGCAATCTGAAAGAAAACCCTTTAACCTGAAAACAAACTGAAGTATAAACTAAATGAAAAACCAGTTGAATTCACTGCTAATGAGCGAACTGTGTCTCACAGCAACCCTCCACAAGGTTCCTGATGGTGCAAATCTCAGTGGGAGGAGACTGCCTGCCTTCCTCCAGAGGAGTGGGCACTGGATTCAAAGCTCTGAGCAGTTCCAACACAGAATTCAACAGGCTTGGGACCTTCCTAGCTTTGGTTCATGTGCCTATTGCCCTTGGGAAAATGGCAGCAGAGCCCAGTATGCATTAGATTCTGTGGGGATCATGTCGAGGGTCAGCAGCCAGAGGGGGAAATGCAAGCCAAGACTAGACTAAGGGTGCCAGCTTCTGTCAAGGGTGTAGACGTATGTGGAAGCAGTGCTGATGGCTACAGCACCCGGTGAATGATGCTGATGGAGCTGAACCCTAAGAGTAAAAATGTTGATGTGGGAAATGCTCTATCGGCAGTCATTACAATTAACACAATGCTGGATGGTGCATTTGACCTTGAATGTTCATTAAAAGGACATAAGCTTTCTGAGAAAGGTGTGAGCACTTGATGTCATTGCCAGGTGTCAATGAATTGACTATGGCTCATAGAGTCCTTGTGAAAAAAAATATTTGAACCATGTCCTATCCTGCACCTTTATGATGTCTGATATGCTTGAGCCCACAAGAACTTTAATTTTATTCTAATTAGGGACACAACAATCTCCAGCGCCCTCAGATGACTCTTCAGAGGGGGCTGGAAAGCGTAATGTCTTGAGGCAAAATACCAGGGGTCCATCTCTAGCTTCCATGCCCTGTAAGCCACAAGCACGCCCACCGCCACCTGCTTCAAAAAGCCACTTTGGCTGCTAGAAGTGAAACCTGAGCAAAGAGTGATTTTAGCTTTCCCACCTTGTCGAATGATGGTGGCCGGCTCTCCGCCACTCAGGCTGGCTCTCCCAATGGAAGGTCCACTGATGTCTGTCCAGTAAACCATCTTGTCCACACAGTCGAAGGCAAGACCAATTATCACTTTATCCTGTAAATGAAGACCAGACCAGTGGAGAGAATGGTCACCCACAAACACTGAGTAACTGATGATGGTGGCAATCTCTTCACGTACTGGCGTGCATATTGAGTTCTTAGGAGGTGTCTTTGCCCATTTTAGAATGCTAACCACTGAGTTGTGGGAGCCCTCTATGTATTAAGAGAAAAATATTTTCCACATATATATTTAGAATGTCATATATATGCACATGTGTATGTTTCCAGATATGCTCTAGTGGCCTCGTGGTAAGAAGCTGAGCTACCCGAAGGCACGAAGTTTGACTCTACCAGCTGTTCTGTGGGAGACAGATGGACAATCTCCTCTGGTGCAATTAGCTGCCCCTGAAAACCCACCGGAAAGTCAGCTATGGGTCGGTTCTCACTCAATGGTACACAACAACAACAATAGTGTTTTTAAAGAACAAAAGGTTTTCATTTTTAGGAAGTCCAATGTAATGACTTTTTTACATCTAGTACTTTTTTTTTACACTACTCTAAAACTTCTGCCTACACACAGAAAGATACCCAACAAAGAAGTAAAAGACATACAGATGGAAAGGAGAAAGCGTACTCTTACTAGAATAATGATTGCTACTAGACAGTTGCAGGCTGTGGTCTTCACAATTACTTGCTAAGTATCAGAGAGCTGGACAGTGACTAGGGATGATAGAAGGAGAGTTGATGCCTTTGAGTTGTGGTGCTGGGGAAGAGTATTGAATATACCATGGACTGCTAGCAGAGCAAACAAGTTCGTCTTGAAGGCGGGCTGTGCCTTGGAGGCAAGGATTCTGAGGCTTCGTCGGACATACTTTGGTCATGCTGCAAGGAGGGATATTATGCTTGGGAGGGTGGAGGGACAGCATAGGATAAGAAGACCCTGGATGAGATGGATTGGCTCAGTGACTGGGGTAATGGGGGCAGAGACACTAAGACTGGCACAGAATAGAGCAGGGTTCAGAGCTGTTGTACATAGGGTTACTGTGAGTCACAGGTGACTTGACGGCACATAACAACAACTAGACAATCTACAAATCTATTATAGTTAATAACTAGATGTAGCACGGTTGTTGGATGTAAGCCAATATATAATTTTATTTGTATTGTTGTTGTGTGCTGTGAGTTGAAACTGACCCACAGCTGACCCCCCAAGCAGGTTTTCTGAGGCAATAGCGGGAGGAGACTGCCCTCTCAGAGCAGCTGGGGGATTCCAACTGCGTCCTGTACTAGTTACAAAAGAAAATAAATTTAACAAACAATAGTGCTTGCAGTAGAATTAAGAAACAAGATACTTGGAAAAAATACAGTAATCATGAAAGATCTCTAAATATTACAAAATGCTGCAGAAAGGAATTAAAGAAATAAATGAACAGATAGGTCATGCAATCAATTGTTAGGTTTACTGCTAAGCTATAAATGTTCGTTATTTCTTTACTTCCTGGTTACCAGGTGTATTAGGAAAGTGAAGGTTAAACATGAGACAAGACTCGAGAAGCAGGGAGGTAACGTATCCCTCTCCAGTGCAGGACAGCACTCTACGACCTCTGGGCCTGTGGTGCAGGATCCGTCTGGGCCCTCACGCTGCCTCTCAGCCTGGTCCCTGCCTTGCTCCGTAGGTGGGGAAGCCCCCACACTGGCCCATGTGGCTGTTCGCTTCTCTGTCACACTTGTTGCCATTGTCTTACACCACTTCCCATGTTACAGCTCCCTCTCTCTCTCTTGAGTCTAGAAGGTTGTTTGGTCGAGAATGACCAACTGGAGGGCATGCTCCACTCCTGGTTCTTCTTCCCTAGTCATGCTGTTGTCGTGTTGTTAAGTGCCATTGAGTCGAGTACCATTTAGAGTGACCCTATGAACAACCAAGCTGAACCCTGTCCTATCCTGCACCATCCTCATTGTCTCTGACACACTCAAGCCCATCGTAGGCATCACTGTGTCAATCACCTGGTTGAGGGTCTGCCTCTCTTTCTCTGACTCCTCATCTTTCCAAGAACGATGTACTTTTCCAAGGAATAGCCTCTCCTAGCAACGTACCCAAAGTATAAAAGTCCCAATTCTCGCCTCCAGGCAGCATGTATCTGCTTGTCCTTTTAGTAATCCATGGAGTAGTCAATGCTCTTGTTTCAACACCACAACTCAGAGGCACCAACCTGCCTCTGTCATCCTTACTCATTGTCCAACTTTCCGATGCATAGAAAGTGACTGAAAATACCAGGGCTGGGGGCACATGCACCTTATTTTTTAAACTAACTTTGTTGCACAGCTCGTGTATATTTGTGTATGTATTTTATTCAGTATTTGTCCTTTGTGTTCTGTTCCACTCAGCACAATGTTTCCAGGATGCATCTAAGTGCTGCCAGCCCAAAGCCTGTGCTTCTCTAGTGGTTTGAATCTGCCAGCTGCTCCACAGAAGAAAGACGGGCACTCTCCTCCTGTGCAACTCAAAGCCTTGGAAAACCGGATGGAGGGTCAGCTATGAGTCGGTTCTGACTCCACAGCAACGTGTTTGAGTCCTCACTTAGAAGGGCAGCACTTCCCCTCACTCCTTCCTGCTCTGTCTCTGGGTCCCCCACCCGCTGCTCCATCACCTTTAAGCCCGTCCTGCCCTCTGGAAGCTCCATGGCTCTGAGTCCTGGATCCCAACAGGAGGTCAGAAACACAGTGGAAGCAGAAGAGCTTTCAAAAGTGTCCTGCCTTCACCTAATGGATGTCACTAAATGGATGTCTGACGCTTTCAAGAGATGGTAATCCAGAGTCTGTTAGTGCCTCAGACATGAGGGTCTGTGACTGAAAGACAAGCCCCTCTTCTCTGAGCAGGATGGAGCATAAACCTAGCAAGTGCCACAGGAAAACAGAGACCCCTGAAGCCCACCCAGGGTCAGAGTGTCATTGTTTCCACCTCACTGGGAGCCTTGGTGGATGTTAGAAGTAGACCGGGTTACAGGCCATGAGAGCCCCTGGCCACCACGCCCAGCCCTGGCCACCACTCCCAGCCCTGGCCTGTCACTGTGTTGGAGCAGTGCCCACCACTATGGTGCCCACATCACCCTACACCCACCGGGGCGTGAAGCAGCGCCTTGGCCTCAGCCTTCTTCATGGAAGTCCCCTCCAAGGGAAGGTGCTCGATCTTCCCCGTCTGCGCAAAGAGTAAGTGGGTCCCAGGTGGCAGGGGGATCACAGCGGTGGGAAGTGCTGGTCCGTGGTGCGTCGGGGGTGCTACTGTACTGAGACCTGCAGACAGGAGACACTGGTGAACAGGGCCCCAGGGCGGCAGGGGCACCAGAGGGAGCACATCAAAGTGGGTGGCCTCTGAAGCTAAAGGGCCATGGACACGTGGGAAGGGGACAAGTGCTGAGAGGTGGACACGTGGGAAGGGGACAAGTGTTGAGGGACAGACACGTGGGAAGGGGACAAGTGTTGAGGGACGGACATGTGGGAAGAGGACTAGTGCTGAGGGACGGACACCCAAGAAGGGAGGCTCTAAGCTCAGGTTCCAGGCTCCCACACCCCCTGTAGCAACCCCACAGTGAAGCCTTGCTTCCCCTGTTGGGCTGATTCTGGACACAGACAGGCCCCCACCCTGCTGTCAGTGGCCACTCCACGGGTTTTGACACAGAGCCCAATGCTGAATAGAATGGGCAAGAGGTGGTGCAGGTGGGATGAGAAGAAAGGAATGGAGGGAGGAGGAGGAAGTGAGATGGGGTGCAGCACAGAACAGGACCCCACAAGGTCTCAGTGAAGGGTGCACGGCTGTCCACCCAGTACTTACATGGGGGCCGCATGCCTGGCCGTGTCCTGGTGCCCTCGATCTCCCGGCCGTCCCCGTCCACACACCAGCAGTGGCCAGTGCTCCCATGGCACTGGGTGGGCACATAGTGCCCGTGTTGGTCACATTCAGGGACGAAAAGCCCAGGAGGCAGAGGCCGCTGTGGGTCCGTGGCGCCCGCAGCCCCAAGGATGTGTTCCCGCTCATGCTGGCACCTGGTTTTCTCTGCTTTTGTTAAAGAGGTAACAAAACAGGGTCACCAAGGACACATCTATGGTACCGTGCAGTCAGAACCAAGAGGGCATCCCCTTACAGCAAAGCATTTGCTCCTTCCAGCATGGTGACATGCAGGAGTCAGTGGTGTTGACAACATGCAATGGATGTGCAACTGTTACCATGATCCATCCCCCACTTTCTGCATAATTTTTAAGAACCCTGGGGTTCCGGGGTGACACAAAGGGTTAAGCATGCTGACTACTAGCAGAAGGCCTGGTGGTTTGACTCTTCCCCAGGAGAACCTTGGAAGGGTGGAGGCCTTGAGAAACCAATGATGCAGTTCTCCTGCACAGCTGGTAGCGAGGAGCCCACCCACAGGTCCCTGGGCCTTGGAAGCAATAACCACTCCCCCATGGTAAGCAGGGAGCCCTGGTGACTTAGTGGTAAGGAGTTGTGCTGCCAACCTGAAGGCATGCATTTCAAATCCAGCAACTGCTCCAAGGAAGAAAAGTGGGGAACCTTCTTCTCTGTGATGTACTGCATCTGCAAGCCCACGGGGGGCTGGGGTTCCTGATAGAAGTCAGTTCCCAGCTGACCGTATACAGCAACAGCGACGCTATCCAATTATCCACTATGCTATCCACTATCCAACTTTGGTTTCTATGCATTTGCCCATTGTAGATGTTTCATATAGGTGGGATCACACAGCATTTGTCATTGTGTCTTGCTTCACCTGACACAGGGTCTTCAGTATGCATCTAAGTTGTAGCATGCCCCAGAATTGTGTATGGGCTCAAACAAAATTAACTCAGAGGCTGCACCTCCCTGGTAATTCAGATCCACCAGTTATTCCTCCAGAGAAAGACAAGCAATCTTCTCTCACGCAATTTATAGCCTTGGAAACCTCTGGAGGGTCAGCTATGAATCAGTTGCAGCTCAGCAGCAATGTTGTAGTTATGTGCCATCGAGTCACCTGCAACTCACAGCAACCCTATGTACAACAGCTCTGAACCCAGCCCTATCCTAGTCTCACTGACTCTGACACACCTCACCCACTATCCCAGTTACTGAATCGATCTCATCCAGGGTCTTCCTCTCCTGCACTGTCCCTCCACCCTTTCAAGCATGATGTCCCACTCCAGGGACTGGTCCCTCCTGGCCACATGTCCAAAGTATGTGAGACGGAGCTTCAAAGTCCTAGCCTCCGGGGAGCAGCTTGGCACAACCACCAATGGCAATAAGGTGAGGATTTTTATATGGCTGAAGCACTGAGTTTTACTTTAATGATGTTTGTCTGAGGACTTTTAGGTTTTCCTAGTTGGTCCTCTTTATCATACCAAGCTTCTCGATTACTCACCAACCTGAGTGCAGGCAGTGACGGTGGAGACCAGAGACCACAGGGTGGTTTTACCAACATTTGTATGTTTCCTTTTAATCATGTTCTTACCATCCCTCAACATTGTACACCTCAGATCCCAGAGCAGGGAAATACTTGTTTATGTCTGCGGAATCACTGGTTAGAAAACATGGAAAGATCAACTTCCAAATGCAAAGTGAGATATGGAATCCCTAGGTGATCAGGAATGCACTTGGCTGCTAACCAAAAGGTTGTGAGCTTGAACCCGCTGGAGGAGGCACTACAACAGGAGGTCCGAGCAATCTGCTTCAGAAAACATAGCCTTTGCAAACCCTATAGAGCACTGGGAGCTCTGGTGGCTTAGAGCTAAGGAGTTGTGCTACTAACCCAAAGGCAAGCAGTTCGAATCCACAAGCTGCCCCAAGGGAGAAAGATGGGAAGTCTCCTCCTATGAGATTTACAGCCTCTGAAAATCTGCTGGAGGGTCAGGTCTAAGTTAGTTCTGACTTGACAACACACAACAACAACAACAACACTTGGGACACCATAAATAGGGGTTGACCTGGTGGCATTTTTTGATTTCGAGTGCAACACAAGCTAGTGGGTCCAGGCACTGTGAAGACCATCTCGTGGCACCTCTTCAGCACCCACCACACGATGTCCAGGCTAAAAGCTGTATTTCTGCTGACCTGTACCATGTACCATCTTTGTTATCTTGTACCCAAGTACAACTTCTCTCACAAGTGATGTAGGATGAAATCTGAATTCAGTCTGCTGGTTGTGGAGGAAGAGAACAAGTAAATCCACAATTACAGCGAGGCGAGTGTTTTCACAGAAAGAAACCAGATCCCAACCGCTGGGGGGTTTCCACCTTAGTGCTTTAGTGAAGACGTGAAGTGTACAACTCCAGGCCAGGGGTCAGTTGCTTTGCTGTGAAGAACAAGAACTCACTGCCGCTGAGTGGGAGCTGACTCATAGCTGACCCTCAGCAGGCTGTCGGAAGCTGTAACTCTCCCGGGAGAGGACTGCCTGTCCTTTCCCTGTGGAGCAGCCGGTGTACCGGAACCACAAGTCCTTTCCCATAAGGTCCCAGACACAATTTTGGTTTTGTGGGGACTCTGATGTCTGTTGCTGATGTCAGTACAGCTGTAGAGGAAATGTAAAGGAATGAGTGCGGTTATGTCCCACCGAAGGGTTGTTCACACACAGGCAGGGGGCCAGATGTGGCCTGCTGCTTGCACTTTGCCAGTCCCTGCTCTATGGCACTCCAAGTAGTTATGATATGAGGAAACACACACACATGGTCCATGTGGCAGTTTGCAATACTATGGTGGTTTGCCTGTTGCTGTGATACTATATACATAGGAAGAAAGCAAAAGTCTAGGGGAGAAAGAGAAGACCAAGATGGATGTCAGAGGAAACCCCAAAGATTGCGACAGAACATCAAGAAGCCAGAACAAAGGGAAGAAATGGAGAAGTAAGAGAGATGGACAGAAGATTAAAAAAGGCAGCACAAGAAGACAAAACTCAGTATTATAATGATTTGTGCAAAGAGCTGGAATTAGAGAATAAAAAAGGAAGAACTCACTCAGAACTCATTTCACAACCTGAAACCTGAGAAACAAATTCAAGCCTCAAGCTGCAATATTTAAAGATGCTTTGGGCAGAATGCTGAATGACCCAGGAAGCATCAAAAGAAGATGGAAAGCGTACACATAGTCCCTATACCAAAAAGAATTGGTTGACCCGGAAACAATGGTGACGAAGGAGGAAGTTCTAGCTGCTCTGTAGGCAGTGGCAAGAAACAAGACCCCAGGAATTGATGAGATGCCCATGACACATCCCAACTAACAGATACCGCCCTGGACATACACACCTGTGCAAAGAAATCGGAAAGACAGCTACCTGGTTAACTGACTGGAAGAGATTTGTATCTGTTCACATTCTTTAAAAAGGTGATCCACTAGAATGTGGAAAATATCAAACAACATCATTAATATCACATGTAAGTCCAATCTTGCTGAAAAGCATCCCAAGACTGCTAACGCAGCGACATCAAGAGCAAACTGCCAGAAGTTCACGCTGATATTAGAAAAGGCCTCAAGGATATCATTGCTAATGTCAGATGGATCTTGGCTGAAAACAGAGAAAACAAGAAGGATGTCTATCAGTGTTTCACTGACTGTGGAAAGGCATTTGACTGTGTGGATCATAACAGACCTGAAAGTTCACATGTAAATGTTCACTTCTGGCTGTAATCTGCACAGGGCAGATATGACAACCTTCTCTTTGTGTGTGTGTGTGTGTGTGTGTGTTGACCAATGAATGCCACAGGCACATTTTGTCCCTGCTGTCAGCTCCTGTTGTTGTTAGGTGCTGTCAAGTTGACAACTCACAACCACCCCATGAACAGTTCTGAACCCTGTCCTATCCTGCGCCATCCTCATCATCTCTGCCACGTTTGAGCCATGGCTGTAGTCACTGTGTCAGTGATGAGGGAGCTGACTCTATCAGAAGCCATCAGCATGCTGGAAACGTGCTTTCTGAACTTGGCAAGGAAAAGTATAGGCTTTGTCTTTTGTCTCCAAGGCTAGTTTAAGAGAAAAAAAAAATCCCAAAAAACAATAAAACCCAACATATGTGATGTGGAAAGAGCCAAAGACGTTAACCATCTGGTTGAAAATAAACATATGAGTTTTATTCACTCTTGGACATAGAATTTGCTCTCTGCCTCTTTAGCTTACATTCGTACAGGGTTTGGTAGTTTCTGGATAAACCGTCCCCATTCATACACACATGACAACAGCCACAAAGAGCTGCCATTGAGTTGACTTGGGCCCATGGGATGTGTGTCCGAGTGGAAATGAGTCCCCAGGGCTTTCAACACTGATGTTCTGGAATGAGATTCTTAGTCCTTCGTCCAAGTCCTAATGGACATGAACTTCACCTACAGATACTGAATCCACTTTGACCAGTAGGCAGTCGTCAGAGCAGAGCTAGCAAACATTGCATGGTTTGAAATCAGGAAAGGAGTGTGTCAGGGATGCATCCTGTCTCCATACCTTTTCAATCTATATGAGGAACAGAACAATTGGGAGGTAGCCATTATGAGAAATGTGGCATCAGAATTGGTGTAAGACTCATCAACAACTTGTATTATGCAGATGACACAACCCTGCTTGCTGAAACTGAGGAGGACCTGAAGCATCTGCTGCAGAAAGTCAAGGACTGAAGCCTTCAATATGGATTGAAGCTCAACATCAAGAAAATAAAGATTCTTACAACTTGGCCAATTGGCAGCATCATAATAGATGGAGAAAAGATTGAAATTAATATTTTCAGTTTGCTAGGTTCACAATTGATACTCTCGGTGTTAACCAGCAGTCAAGAAACCAAAATTTGAATCGGTTTAGGAAAGTCTGCTGTCAGGAACCTCTCTAGAGTGCTGAAGTGCAAAGATTTCAGCCTAGAGTATAAGGTATGCCTGATCCAGACCATGGTCTTCACAATAACTTGCTATGCCATCAGAGAACTGGACAATGAACATGCATGACAAAAGAGGAATCGATGTCTTTGAGTTGTGGTTCTGGAGAGGTCTTGAACATACCATGGACTCCCAAGACAACAAACAGGTCTGGCCTAGAGAAGGTAAAACCATGTTTCTCCTTAGCGGCAAGGATTTTGAAGCTCCATCTCACATACTTTTGGCTTGTTGCCAGAAGAGACCAGTCCTTGGAGAAAGACATCATGCTCGGATGGGTCGAGGGACAACACAGGAGAGGAAGACCCTAAATGACATGGATTGACACAGTGACTTTGGCAAGAGGGGCAGGTGTGTCGGAGACAGTGAGACTGGCTCAAGATAGAGCAGGGTTCAAAGCTGGTGTGCGTAAGGTCACTCTGAGTCACAGGTAATTAGAGAGCATATAACAACACTACATTTGTGTATGATGCTCTTTTCCTAGCTGGAATAAAGATCCGTGTTCTGTGTCCTGCCAGTTCAATCAAACTTTTAGGGGAGGCCCTCTCCTTGTCACAAAGTGGACAGTTCTGTGTCACCATGGCTAACACACACACTCTCAAGCCATCTTGAATTGGCAGTGGAACTTCTAAGTGTGGTCTGTGTCTTGTAGCAGGAGGGGGTGGTTGCAACTGTGACTCACGAAATGGAATTTCAAGTATGTTTATGGAAACTTGCACTATCACTCAGTTTCCTGGAGAAGTCAGCTAGCAAACAGAAGGGGCAGCCCAGGGGGTGTCCCCCATGGAGAATTTTCCATGAAGGATTTGGTGGGTGGAGTGGGGATGGGTAACAGAGACACATTTCCTATGCTTGTATCTGGTTGGTCCAATGATTAATGCCAACAAGATACTCCTTCCTTGTCCTCTTTCACCCAGCGGGCTTGGGTGAGTTAGAAACTGGACCAGCCTGTGAGCATGAGGCCTGTCATGTCCTTACCACAGGCAGCCCATCAGCCTGGGTGTGAGTAGACTGACCAGCTGTTGGCTGCTGCTGGGCTGTGAGCAGAAGAATCAGAAGAGGTCAGGAAACCCTGGGAGAGATGACAATGGTGGACAGGATAAAGCTGGGGTCCAGGTTGGAGGAGGCATCCAAAGAACAGATGTGAGGGTTTGTCAGCTGATACGGACTTGTGGCAACGTGAGCACTTTAAGGCTTTGGTCAGAGACCTTGAACTAAAGAAGGGTTAATAAAGTGTGAATAGGGCACACAAGGGAGATGAAATGATTATCCTCCCTGAGAATATGCCCAAAGTATGGGAGATAAAGTTTCCCCATCTTTGCATCTAAGGAACACCCTGGTTGCACTTCTGACAAGACATTTGTCTGTACTTTTGGTTGTCCATGGGATAGCCATTACTCTTCTCCAACACCACAACCCAAAGGCATCGCTTCCTTTTCTGTCAGAGTATAAATTAAAATGGTTCTCACTTTTCTTTCCTTTTAGTAGCATACTTATTCAGCATACTTTCACATATATTACCAACCCAAAGGCAGGCAGTTAAATCTACCAGAGGCTCCACAGGAGAAAGATGTGCAATGTCCTCCTGTGTGATTTACAATCAGAGAGCATAACCAGAGAGCTCTTTGGAGGCAAGGGGGGCAAAGCTTTGTCTCTCATACTTTGGGCATGTTGTTAGGAGAGACTATTTCTTGCTCGCAGAGGTGAAGGGTCAGTGAAAGAGAGGAAGACTCCCAATGAGATGGATTGACACAGTGACTGCAGCAATGGACTCAAGAATGTCAGAGATGATGAGGATGGCTCAGGACAGGACAGGGACCCGATCTATTGTTCATACGGTCGCTATGAGGCATACTCAGCTCGACAGCCTAACTAGTTCATTCATCTTAACTGCTGACTAGCATGTCACTGTGTGAATGGATCACTGTACGTATAATGTGTCACTGTGTGAATGGATCACTGTACATATAGTATGTCACTGAGTTAATGGGCAGCTGTATATTGTTTCACTGTGTGAATGGATCACTGTACGTATAATGTCACTGTGTGAATGTATCACTGTACATATAGTATGTCGCTGAGTTAATGGGCAGCTGTATATTGTTTCACTGTGTGAATGGAACTCACTGTATGAAGGGGTAATTTCATCCTTCCTATGAATGACCATGTAGCTATTTTTTTCTATTACAAACAACATTCAATAAATACCCTTATATATTTCTAGAGCATAATCTCTTCCAGGCACATAACTGTGTTTAGAGGTCCTCAGGAGGACAGAATTAAATGCCTAAACAATACTGGCCAGTAGCTGTCCTGGGTTTTATCTTCGTCATGACTTCATAATTTAGCTTAATCGCTGAGAAGCATTTCTATTTAGTAAACAGAACCACCAAGCCAGGTTAAGAGTCGGGTTAAAAACAAAAAAACCAAATGGCAAAACATCTGTTGCTTTTGAACCAGAGATGTGAAACACGCCAAAGGAAATAAGGAACTTTAGTCATTTTTATTAGATGCCAGAATAGCTTGACTCAAATTATCATTAGGTCTTCTCAACATCTTCCAAATCTAAGAAGAAAGTAAATTTTAACTCTGGTTTTAGGAACAATGAGTGAGCCTGCCTAGGTTCATATAATTCAGTAGTGGGCACACTTTTTCTGAAAAGGGCCAGGTAATAAAAAGTTTGGGCTTTGCAGGGCTAGTAAAAGGAGCTTTGGTGGCAATCCTGAAGGCAAGTGGTTTGAATCCACCAGCTTCTCTGTGGGAGAAGGATTGGCAATCTTTTGCTGTGAGGTTTACTGCCTCTGAAAACCCAATGAACAGCAACTATAAGTTGATTCCAACTTGACAGTACACAACAACAGGACTATTAATAAGCGTGGCCACATTCCAATAAAACTTACTGACAAATGCAGGTGGTGAGCCACATGTGGTCCACAAGCTAGTTTGCTACCCTTGATCTAAGCTGAGAAAACCATTTAGATCAGTGCAAATAATAATAAAAATCTCAACGTTCAAATTTAATCTGATTATCTCTTTTTAGATCAGTGACTATCCAAACTCGTCCAATTTAGAAAGAAGGTACGCAAATACTTTCATATACTGCTGGTGTAGGTATGTCAAATTATTGCTGGTTTGGTTTTCCCCCAATTCCTTTTCATTCAATCATTCATATACATTTTATTTTATATCATTAATTACAATTGGTTAATGCAATTAATGCTAATTATACTAATAATGCAATTAATTCTAATGTTTCCTCACATGTGCATTCAATTATTTCTTCACCCTTACCATGAGGCACATGCTCCCTGCACCTTCAAGACACTCACGTTACTGATGGGAACAGACATAAGCCAGTTAGTAACCATTTAGAAAAATGTGGTGTCATTAAAATTTCCATCTATCTCTTGTAGTTTTTGTGTGCCGTCGAGTTGGAACCAATTCAGAGCTGACCTTCCAGCAAGTTTTCAGAGGCTGTAAATCGCATGGAAGGAGAGTGTCCGTCTTCCTCCTGTGGAGAAGCTGGTGGGTTCAACTCACCTGCCTTTGGGTTGGCAGCACAATTCCTTGCTATATACCTCTTCATTTATAGTGGCAGGAATATATCTTGCCAAAAGAGAAGCAGAGATGAAAAAAGAAATGACAGGCTCTCCCTGGTGGTAGCAGTAAGGCGTTTTGTTGCCAACCCAAAGGCTCTGGTTCGAATCCACTAACTGCTCCAAAGGAAGAAAGAGGGGCAGTTTCCTCCCGTGCAATTTACAGCCTCTGAAAAGTCGCTACAGGGGCCAGATCTTGAAAAATGACATCATGCTGGGAAAGGTAGAACGTCAACAAAAGAGAGGAAGATCCTCAACAAGATAGACTGATCCATTGGAGGATCAGCTCGGAGTCAGTTCCAACCCAATAGAATCAATGAGCTTAGTGGCTAACTCTTGTTGGAAGTGTCAAACCTATTCTTAATCGCATGCCAGGACTCAGCACAGTTTAAAGGACTAATAAAAGGCTTGAGGTCCTTCGGACAGACAGAGGCCTGGATCTTTGCTTGAGCCCTCATTACCTGTGGGACCTTGGCTGCATCTCTATCTTTTTAGGTTCTAACACACATCTGTGTAAATGGAGACAGAGTACTTACCTTAAAGTGATAGATATGAACATACAGGAAATCGTGCATGTACCTGAAGCTTCCCATACCCCAAGTTATAGGGCACAGCCTGAATGCTCAGATCTCCTATTTCAGAACCTCTCAGAACTCACCACAGAACTCTGGCTTCCCACCCCACGTCTCTCCATGTCCCACCCTATGTCTCTCCCAGGGCCGCAGACAGGGCAATGGGGTACCAACCCCTCACCTGCCCCAGGCTCGCAACGGAAGCCATCTCCGTGGTAACCAGGCTTGCACTGGCACGTGAAGGAGCCTGGCGTGTTGTAGCAGAAGGCATCAGGGTGGCATCGGCTCGGCTGGCACTCGTCCACATCTGCAAAACAGACACTGGGTCAGCACAGTGAGGTGCTTTCTGGGCATCTCCACCAGGTCAGCACAGGGAGGCCACTTCTGGACGTCACCGCTTACAAAATAACTTCAAGTCACTCGCTGACTCAGAGGCAACCTGTTTTAAATCTGGGAACAATGTCTTAGAACTCTGGTAGCCTAGTGGTAAGGAAGTGTGCTGTCAACTCAAAGGCAGGGAGTTCAAGTCCACCAGCTACCTCCAGGAGAAAGATGGGCAATCTTCTCCCAGGCCTCTGAAAACCCAAGAGAGGGTCAGCTGTGAGTTGTTCCAACTCAGTGGCATATAACAACAACAAAATATTAATGAGCAAGAATGTCAGTTTAAAGACTGAGTTGTGCTAGATTCAAGCCATGGTATTTTCAATTGCTTCTTTTGCATCTGAAAGTTGGACAATGACTAAAGAAAACCAAAAAATAATTAAAACCTTTTAATTGTGATGTAGAAGAATACTGAGTATCTTATGAACTGTCAAAAGAACAAACAAATCTGTGTTGGAGGTAGTGCAACCAGGGTGATGATAAAAAACTTCATCTCACATACTTTGGACATGCTGTTAGGAGGGGCCAGTCATTGGAAAAAGACATCATGCTGAGAAAGGAAGGTGGAGAGTGAACAAATGAGAGGAGGATCCTCAATAAGACAGACTGACACAGTGACGAAATCAATGGGCTCAAGCATGTTGGAGATGATGATATTGGCACAGGATAGAGCAGAGTTCAGATCATTTGTTCATAGGGCTGCTCTGAGCTGTACTCTACTGAACAGTATCTATCTGTCTATCTACATACACACAAACATGTATGTGTGTATATATATATATACACACACGTATGTATACATATATACATGCATGCATGTATGTATATGTGTATGTATGTATATATATTTATATAAGTCTTATATATTACTTTACATATGCAAGGATTATCTATCAAGCAGCCTCAGTGTCTCGCAGAGAGCAGGCATCTAATCGTGCCCTATAACAGATCGGTAGGGAGACCAATGAGAGGAGAAAGGAAACGGACAGGTCACACAGAAGGACTATGAATGCAGCCAGGTCACCCACAGGGTAGGGCTCAGGTGGCGGCGGAGGGTAAGGAACAGAGGACCTGGCACACAGGGACCCTCAGGTCCGTTCTTGAAGCAGGGAGGACCACGTGAGCACCTACCTTGGCAGGCCCGGCCATCCCCGAAGAAGCCAGGCAGACAGGAGCAGTGGTAGGAGGACCCTCCCAAGTAAGTACACTGGGCCCGCTGAGGGATGTCACAGTCATGGAGGCCACTGCTGCAGAAGTCGACGGGGCGCTGGTCTGTAACAGCTTCAGAACAAAAGGTCCAGACACCATGGAGAAGGTCTTGTAAGCAGGCCTAGCAAACTCCTATCATGCCTGTGGTGAAAACAGGCTCCCTACCGAGGGCAGCTGGGCTTAGATCCTCACGCTGCTTACCACAGCTCTGGTCACCCTCGCTTCCACCCCATGCCCACCCACCTGGATTCTCCCCCTGGCAATCCTCGGGGGGCCCTGTAGCCTGGCTTCAGACCTCAGAGCCAGGCCTTTGCTCCAGGGCATGCTCCAGGCTGGTCCCTGGAGCAGGTCCCTAGGACCCAACTTCCCCTCATTCTGGAGGTGGATTTGGAATATCTGCATATATTCCCACAGCAACTACATCAGCACCACATTTGATGTACCTGAGCCTATCGTATGGGATCTCCGAGCCTGTACTATTCTGTGCAGCTAGGGCATCCACTATGAATGCCCCAGTCAGTTACTTCCCAGTGAGGAAGAACAATATTTATCCATGGCATTGAGAAAGTACAGAGAAAAGAGAGGGGACCACGCCTGGGCTTACACCAGGTCAACCATTCACCGTTAGATTAACTCCTGGAGCCTCAGGCTCCTCCTTGGTCAACAGGAATGACTCCCAGCATACTAGGCAGTGAGGCAAGATGCCTGTCAGCTTATGAGAATGCCAGAGGCATAACAGAGGAGGAAAGGTTTGAATGAGAGGCAAAACTTGGCTTGAAAAGAGAAATAAAAAGACTACGTTGGGCTTTAGCTTTTCTACTTCTTTCTTCTCTGAAGATAATCCAAGAAAATGAATGTTCCCTGACCTAAGGCCATCAGACCCAGTGCAGTCACAGTGGCCGGAGAGACTATGAGGAGGCAGGTTGAAAAGCAGTGGGATGGGGTGAGATGAGCCATTTGAACTCCCCAGGGACTAGGAGATGGGATGACATGGGTTCAACAGGCAGCAGCAGATCTGGAAATTCAACGATACGAGGGTTGAGAGAACTCTACATCCAGTAGTTTCTGTACTCGTTTTTGAGCAAGGAAACTCATTTCTTCAAAATCATCCTCACAATTGGATGCACCAGAAAATGAAAGGCTGGAGATGGGGCTAAGTTCTGCCCCCTGGTCATCTCATTCCCTCCACTGCAGCCCCCAGAAGCACATCCAAAGGTGTCATGAGACTGCTGGAAAGCCCATCTTCCAGATGAAGAACAAAGGTTGAGAAAAGTCAAGTGTCCCCCCCTAAAATCACACGCGTGGAAGTGGACTTCCCACCCTCCTGTCTAGCACTAATCCGGTTCTCCAGCAAGAGTCGAAGTCACGAAGAGATCGATCTAGAAATCCATCCCCTTCACACACTGACTGAGGATGAGTCTCAGAGATGGCGCTTCTTCACCACCACCACAACCCAAATCAAAATGCACTGAGAGGAGCTCAGCAAGGGAGTCTGCTCTCCCTCACACAGCAGAGAAGGAAGTCAGGGGACTCACAGAATCAGATGTGCTCTGTTGAAATCTAAACTCTCCACCCGTGGAAAGGTGGCTGGCCTCTCAGCTAGCAGATGTTTGGGTCACATTCAAAATATGAGAACTCTGTGTTCTGCCCACCCTCCAGAAACTGCCTCACCCTGGGACCTGCAGCTCTTGCTTCGGCCTCAAGACTGAGCAAAACAGAAAGCCTGCTGAGAGTGGAGTAAACAATGAAGATAGGCAACGAGAGGGTTCACAGACACAGCTAAAGTGGAAATATCTTTAACTGAGCAGAAATGCTGAGTTCAGGTGTTCCATTCTGAACTCTGCCTTCCAAACTTGAAAATCTCCATCAATCTTTGGAGCCCACTGCCACCATCAAAAGAAAACATAATTATTCTAATTAAGAGCTTCTAATCAGCTTACTTGGATGAGGCTTAAAGGCTAATATTATTCTTCCTGGCTTTTAAAAATCAAAACCACAAGTAGATTGTTTCCAAATGGAGTTTTAGATGTAAGTGAGGTAGAATTTATTTGAAGGCAAGTCATAACCCAAGTGTCCATCATGCTAAACATTGACTGGTATTCCAAGAGAGAGGACACAGATAAGCACCAAATACATTGCTTTGCTTCGGCTATTCACATTAACAGAATCCCACCTGTTGGCTGGATGCCACGGAGTTGATTACAACTCATAGTGACAAAAGACTTAAACACTGCCTAGTGCTGAGCCATTCTCATCGTCTCTGCTGTGCTTGGCCTGTTGTTGTAGGCACTGGGTCACCCCATCTCACTGAGCACTCCATTCCTTCACAGCCCTCCACTTCTCCAAACATGATGTGCTTTTCCAAGGGCTGGCCCTTCCTGGCAACATGCCCCAAGTATGTGAGACCGTCTTCTTCATCAGGGAGTCCCCTGACTGCACTCCTTCAAAGATGGCTTTGTGCTTCTGGCAGTCCACGGCCTATTTAATACTCAGCACTAGCAACACAGGGCAGAGGCATCAATTCTACTTCAGTTTCCTTATATATTGTTCAAATTTCATATGCATATGAAATAATTAAACACCACAGTTTGGATCACCTGAGGCTTTAAAGTGATCTCTTTGGCCTTTAGTACCTTAAAGAGGCCCTTGATAGATTTGTCTAACAATAAATAATTTGATTTCTAGACAACTTCCATGGATATTAATGGTGGATCCAAGCAAAATGAAATCCTTAAAAACTTCAGTCTTTTATTCATTACTGAAATGTTGTTTATTGTAAGGATTTTTGTTTTCCTAATGTTGAGATGTGATCCATGCTGAAGTCTTTGAGTTTCATCAATAAGTACTGAAGATCTTCATTTTCTATAAGGAAAGTTGTATCCTCTGCAAAATGCAGTTTATAATGCGTCTTCCTCCAATCTTAATGCCACATTCTCCTTCATATAGTCCAACTTCTCAGAATATTTGATCAGCATACAGATTGAGTAGGTATGGAGAAATAAATGAATAGATCTGGAGAAAGGGTACAACACTGATGCACCTCTTTCCAATTTTAAACTATTAGTATGTTTGAACAACTTTTTTTATCTATGTACAGGTTCTGCATCGGCTCAATTCAGTGTTTTAGAATTCTCATTCTTTGAAATATTATCCCTAATTTGATCCATATCATTCAATGCCTTTGCACAACCAAGAAAACATAGGTAAGCAACTTTCTGGTATTCTTGGCATCTGATGTTAGCACCAATACTGCATATTTCATAGCTTCTTCTGAATCTACCTTGAATTTCTGACAGTTCCTTGTTTTTGAACTATCTTCATCAAGATTAGTGTCAGTGTGTAACATGGCAGGGTGATAACTGTAAGGTCAGCATTTCAAATCCCCCAGCTGCTCCACAGAATAAAGATGAGCAGTATCCTGCTGTCAGCCCTAGAAATGTGACAGAGGATTGTTATGAGCTGGGACTGAGTTGGGTGACATGTTTTAAGATTTTATTGGCATGTGATATTAATATCTACAATTAGTTGGATCATCATTTCAAATGGGTACAAATATGAATCTCTCCCACTTGGTCAGACAGTGGTCTTCTGAATCTCTTGGCACAGACAAATCAGCACATCTAGCGCGGCATCTGTTTGTTCAAACTCTTCAAATGACCTGTCAATTCCTGAAGTTGGTTTTTGCTAATGCCTTCAATGCAGCTTGGACTTCTTTTTTCAAAACCAGTGGTTCTTGGCCATATACTACCTCTTGAAATGGCAGAGCATTAACCAATGACTCTGTGTATTCCTTTTATCTTCTTTTGATGTTATTCAATATTGTACCCACAGGATCATTCATTCAAAGCTTGAATGTGTTCTTCAGTTCCTTTTTACCTTGAGAAGTTTTGAGTGTTCTTTAACTTTGGGTCTTTGTCTGTTTCATGACAATACTGTGTTTTCTCTTCTCTAACCCCTTTCTAGAGACTAAAGTGCATCAGATCCAGGCCATAGTCTTTGCAATCATTTGCTATGCATCAAAGAGCTGGACAATTACTAGGGATGATAGAAGAATTGATGCCTTTGAGCTATGGTGTTGGAGAAAAGTATTGAATATACCATGGACTAAGAGAATGAACAGGTTCATCCTAGAGAGGGTGAAACCAGGCTGCTCCTTGGAGGCAAGGATTTGTCTGACATACTTTGGACATGTTACAAAGAGGTACTAGTCCTTGGAGGGGGACGTCATGCATACAAGGGTAGAGGGAGAGTGCAGGAGAGGAAGACCCTCGATGAGATGGATTGATTCAGTGACTGGGGTACTGGGGGTAGGTGTGTCAGAGACAATGAGATTGGCGAAGAATAGAGCTTCTGTACATAGGGTTGCTATGAGTCGCAGGTGACTCGATGGCACCTAACAACTACCACCACCACCTTCTGAACTCTTCTGTTCAATTCTTCTAATTCATCCTTTCTTGGTTATGTTTTAGCCATTCTATGTTCAAGAGCAAGTTTCAGAGTCTTCTATGACACCGGTTTTGTTCTTTTCTTTTCTTTCTTTCTTGTCTTTTTGACGATCTTTTGCTTCCTGAATTCATGTACATTATCTATGGTGGTGTATCAAATATTTTCTTGAGATAGTTACAAATGCAGCTGAGATACATAACCAGTGCTGTATTTTTGCTTCTGTAGGCTTGTTTTAATCTCAACTTCAAATCTCATCTACTTATAACTTAATTGTTCAGAAGATTGTGCTAGAAAGAACTCCAGCTGAAACACTAAAGGTTAAAACTTTTAAAAATCAAACACATAAAACAATATGAATAAGTGAAAAGCAGAAGGCTTCCTCCAGTCCTCTCAGTATGAATCACAAATTATAAAGAGAAATAAGCCTTATTGTTTTCATAGCTACTAAAGGTATAATAACAAGAGTTAAGATGAGCTATCTGGGAAGCAGATAGCATGCAAATGTTTGAATGCCTCTTAAAATGGACAGATGAGATGCTGTTCCTCGCATAGGTAGCAAGATTGCTTGTTCCTTTACTAACTCTCCACACAGACACAGAGGTAGGGGTTAAGTCTGACTTGTCTTCAGAAATAGCCCTGCCCAGTCACAGCCCTGGCACCCGCATCTCAGCAGAACCAGCCACTTGGCACAGCCTCACTGCACAGGACAAAACGGAAACCACATGAATCAATGTTCTAAATGGTTATCCAGACAACTTACCCACACACGTTCCCTCGTTGGAAAACTGGTAGCCCTCCACACACTCGCAGCGGAAGGTCCCCGGGTGATTATTACAGAGGGCGTGGCTCCCACACACCGAGGGCTGCTCCAAACATTCATCGATATCTGCGGCAAGTTAAAAAAAAAGGTGAAAATTCTTTCTAACCTTCTTATAATCTCACCGACCATGTTGCTGTTATGTGCTATCATAGCTGACTTTCCAGCAGCTTTTCAGGAACTGTAAATCATACAGGAGGAGACTGCCCAGCCATCTTTTTCCTGTGGAGCACTCATAGATTTGAACATCATGCCTTCAGGTTGGCAGCACAACTTTAATAGAAAACAATATCTCTGAAGCCAGATGCACTTAGAAACAAAATTTTCTATATTCCAAAAGAAGCATTAAGTGGGATTTCTTTTTTTCTTTACATATGAGGTGGATTGATTCAGTGAGTGGGCTAATCGGGATGGGTGTGTCAGACGCAGTGCAAATGGCACAGGATAGAGCAGGGTTTAGGGCTGTTGTACATAGGGTCGCTATGAGTTGCAAGCTACTCGATGGCATATAACAACAACAACAATTTTTGGTGAAGAGACTGAGATTGTTAACAGCTTTATTTTGCTTGGCTCCACAATCAACACTCTTGGCACCAGCAGCCAGGAAATTAAAAGATGTATTGCAATGGGAAAGTCTGCTGTTAGGGATCTCTACAAAGTACTGAAGAGCAATGGCGTCACTCTGGAGACTAAGGTGCATCTGATACAGGCCAGGGTCTTTGCAATCACTTGTTATGTGTCAGAGAGTTGGACAATGACTAGGGAGGATAGGAGAATTGATGCCTTTGAGCTGTGGTGTTGGAGAAGACTGTTGAATATGCCATGGACTGCTAAGAGAACAACCAGGTTCATCCTAGAGAGGGTTAAACTATGCTGCTCCTTGGAAGCAAGGATTCTGAAGCTTCGTCTGACATACTTTGGACATGTTGCAAGGAGGGACCAGTCTTTAGAGCAGGATGTCATGCTTGGGAGGGAGGAGGGACAGTGCAAGAGAGGAAGACCCTCGATGAGATGGATTGATTCGGTGACTGGGGTAAGGGGGTGGGTGTCAGAGACAAAAGGTTGGCACAGAATAGAGCAGGGTTTAGGGCTGTTGTACATAGGATTGCTATGAGTCACAGGCAACTCGATGGCACATAACAACAACAATTTGTTTAGAGAGATACAAGGTCCTTTCCTAGTGCTCCGTACCCCATCCATCAAGTTAGGTGTTGAGCTGGGGACCTGACACAAAAATCAGGACACTATGTGAGCAAGTGCATGTTAAAAGGAGGGAGATGGGTAGGTCTGTTTTCTGAACATGGTTTCTAGAGATTATTTTCAATGAATGCTGAAGATTCCATGGACTGTCAAAAGAACAAGTAGATCCATCTTGAGAAAGGGCAACCAGAGTGCTAATTCTCCATCTTACATATTTTGGACATGTTGCTAGAAGAAGTTATTCCTTGGAGAGGGGCATCATACTTGGAGAGGTGGAGGGTCAGTGAAGGAGAGAAGACCCTCACTGAGATAAATTGACACACTGTCTGCCACAAAGGACTCAACTGTGTGAATGAAGATGAAACAGGTGGTGTAGATAGGACAGAGTTTAGAACTGTTGTTCTAAGGGGTTTTTGGTTAGTTTTATTTTGGTTAAGTACAGTGTACTTTATTGATGGTACATGACAAGATGGGCTCTCCAAGCCCCTCCTCTTTCTCATGGGGATTTGATGGAAACTTGTGTCAAGGATGTGAGAGTCTCAGTGTGTGGGAGGATCGAGTTGTGGCAAGGACTCCCCAGCAGCTGAGGGTCTCTCTCTCTTCTAGTGCTGTTGCTGGGGCTAGTGGTCCAAGGGGCTCTTATTCTTTTGGAGGCCATGTGAACCATCAGGTCGACTACCTGGTTGCTGTGACCAAATTCACTATGAGTCATACTTGACTTGATGACACTTAACAACAATTGTTACTTAGGGAGCTCTGGTAGTCCTAGTCCACAGGGAATTATGTTGCAAATACAAAGTAGAGCCTCTGGTGGTTGAAATCCACCAGTGGGCCTATGAGTGAAAACAGATAATCTCCTTCCCTGTGATTTACAGCCTCAAAAGCCCAATGCAAGGACAGTTCTGAGTGACCACAATGACTAACTGGCATCACTGCAGGGGCATCGTGGGTTATGTGAAAGGTCAGCAGTTTGAACCCACCTGGAGCACATGTAGAAAGAAGAAAAAGGCTGCCCTCGTTAGGCCTCACTCCCTCAGAAACCTGACAGGGTCACCACGAGCCACAGTCGACTCAACGACAGTGGGTTTAGTGGTTAAAGTGTTCAAGTGTTTGGCTGCTAAGGGGGAATTTGGCGACTCGAGCCCACTAATTGCTCCTCAGGAGAACAACGTGGCAGTCAGCTTCCTTAAAGTTCTCAGTGTTGGGGATCTGGTGAGGCTGCTCATCCCACGCTAGAGGATATGAGCTGGATCACCATGGCAACCAGCAACAACACGGCCAGAAAAGTAGTCCCTTGGTGGGACACATGGCTTGAGTGCTCAGCCGAGAAGCACAATGCTGGCGCTGGAACCCACGTCGAGTCAAAGCGGCAGTCTGCTCCCGGAAGGCCACAGTCTGAACCCCGGGCAGAGCAGTTCCAGTCCACGCCCTGTGGGTTGTTACGCGTCAGAACTGTCTCAATGCAACTTGGTTTCTTGTGAGAAACCTTTCCTTCAGTTACAGTGACAAAATAAGCTGAATAATTTA